GCTTGAAAAACTGTTTCCAAACGCAGGTTTCGAGTTTGAGACTGCCTGTGTGACGAAGGTGGGCGCGGCACAGGTCTGCCACAGTAGCTCTGATCTGCTGAGCAGCGTCGATAACAATCCCGATAGTAGGCTTATTCGCGAGGCCAACGTGCAACAGGCAACATCAGACCAGTGGGATTTCTTCTTCAGTGTCGCTCAGGACCGGGTGTCCGCAGCAAGCTTGCAGGCTACTGTTTACGCGTCGGCCGTGTCTATTGCCGCTGTAGTCTCCCCGGCCGCTACGTTGGCGAGTGTCGGTGTCACGGTGCTTGAGACACCTGCTCCACCCACAGACGACGATGATGACTTGTCAAAGTTTGCCATTGCCGGCATTGTTGCCGGATGCGTTCTTTGCATAGCGTGCGCTGCGGCCATCGGTGTCGTCCTCAGAAAAAGGATCACACTGAAATACGCGACTGAACCAATTGATGAACGCACAGTGTAGTAAAAATCAACGTACGCCGGCAAAGACCGGCACCCAGCGAGACTAGAGGTAGCAGTTAGAGTTCGGGCGAACTAAGTTCTGGTGGGCGAAGCAAAGTTCTGGTGAAGCAAAGCTCGGAAGCAAAGTTCGGGCGAAGCTAAGTTCTGGTGGGCGAAGCAAAGTTCTGGTGAAGCAAAGCTCGGAAGCAAAGTTCGGGCGAAGCTAAGTTCTAGTGAAGCTATGTTCTGGTGAAGCAAAATTCGGGCGAAGTTCTGGTAAAGCTAAGTTCGAAGCAAAGTTCTGGTGAAGCAAAGTTCGGAAGCAAAGTTCGGGCGAAGCTAAGTTCTAGTGAAGCTATGTTCTGGTGAAGCAAAATTCGGGCGAAGTTCTGGTAAAGCTAAGTTCGAAGCTAAGTTCTGGTGAAGCAAAGTTCGGAAGCAAAGTTCGGGCGAAGCTAAGTTCTAGTGAAGCTGTGTTCTGGTGAAGCAAAATTCGGGCGAAGTTCTGGTAAAGCTAAGTTCGAAGCTAAGTTCTGGTAAAGCAAAGTTTGGACGATGCTAAGACTCTTGTAGACTTCGCCCCCGGACCCCAAAAGGCTCGTTAGAGCTATTATCATACCTCTAGCCTCCTAAAATTGGACTCTAAAGAATTGAACGGGAAAAACACGCATATAAAATCCCGCCCAACAACACCCCAAGCGCATATACATACCTTCTCCGGTAGCTCCCAGTTCAGCCAACTTCCGCGACCTTCTTAAAAGGTCCCCCAGTGTCCTTCCGCATAGACGGAAGAGCTCCCCCGCGCAAGGGTGCTTACCCCCGCGAGTAAACGGGTGCTTCTTTCCAGGGCAGGTATTCTCATCTTGCAAGGTGACCGCTTCCTTACGGGCCCTGACGCACGCCTGCATCCTCTCCATCCAACGCTCTGTGTTTCGCTTGCTTCTAGGCAAATCCCCGTTTTCACATTTCTTCTCTCTCCAAGTTCTCTCCTCGTGTTGGCACCACGAAGCGAGGTCCATCGCTGCTAGCCGGCCGGAAATAAAACCACACTATATACCCGCACTTTGTGGAGCCTGCAGGAGAGCATGTTTTCATATGCTTTCAGCAGACTACCCCGGTGTATGCGAAAAATGCCCGTGGTTCCGGATTGTTTATTACCTCTTGCTCAGTAGTAAGGTCTTTTGCAAAGGGGTTGTCGTGTGAGCTGTGCAAAAGCATCTCCTCGGCATCACCCGGAGACTTTTCAAGCGAAGTTTCACTCCAAAAAGTGCACGAGAAGAGTCGCTGAAACTAGGCCGGTTCATACCTTCCTGATAGACCGCGATAGACCGACGAATCCAGCTCCAGACAGATCTAGTGCAGCTCCAGGATAGGGTTGGACCTGATAGGACTGGGCCTGCTAGAGATGGACCCGGACCTGATAGACCGTGGTGTGCACCGCGGTTCACCGTGATGTACAGCGGCACACAATTCGATGCAGTTCGAGGAAATACAGATGAACCGGCTTAGAAACGGTACCATGACTAACAGTCGCCTACTACGGCCAACGACACGCTGCCGAAAACGTGCCTGGCGTGTGGCTATAACTTGCGATACCAACGAATTCACAGGAGGGGGGGAGGGGAAACGAAAAGGAAAACAAGGCCAGCCTGGTCCAAGGGGTGGTCAGAGCTCGTATTGCCCCCTGTCGCTGCCACCCCCGCCCGCAGCGCCCTTTCCTTCTCACTGAAGAGTAAGCCGTCGGACGCAAACACACACCCGCCGCGGAAAAGCGAGATTTTCCGCTTTTTCTTTTTCGGGAAAGAAGGACGGCTCGTCTATCTTTTACTGCGGATCAGCTCCAAATCGGACCGATTTCCGCCGATTTCTTTTGAGCTCTAACCAACACACCGCCGTCACAAGCAACTAACTGAGCGACTGTCGCCGGAAGATACCAAAAACAACACACAAATAAGAGGTCGAAAGGCAACGAACTGGCGTTCGTAGTTGAAAGCAAAAACAAATCAAAAAACACAACGTGTCTTTCTTCTTTAGCCATACTTCAACTTCTTTGAGCACCATTCGAAAAGAGTACCGTGAAATAACACGTCGCTCTCTCTCTCTCTCACGACTTCCCGGTCTCACTTTGCCCGTGTGCGCCACCGTTTCGCACTTGCAGCTGGACACCACTACTTCTTTAAACAAACAAAGCTACGCACCAAGCTCCGTATTCGTTTCGACGCCGACAACGTGTGAAGCGACGAGCAACCGAGACACTGACAGCATCACCGAAGATTTTGCTGTCGATAAAAAGCAAGTCAAAAAAAGGAGCGATCACGCCTCCGCCGCCCGGTGTTCGGGGCTGGGTCAACAACGCAGGCCGCCGGTCCTCTGGCTCCCCTCTCTCTCGTAGCTCGTGAAGTTCTAGATCCCCTTTCTCTCTGAACTTGCTCGGGTCGCTGCGGTCTTTACGCGCTTCGTTCGTTGGACCACCCCCGGCACGTCATTTTGGTGTGAGATCGTCCGGAGCTCTTTCATTTTTGGTTACGAAGTTCTTGGCCGCTCTCTCTCTCTCTTCCCCCTCCTCCAGTTCACGAGGAGAACACACGTTCGTAACCGATTTTCCCTTGAGTCCTGATCGCGTCGGTTCAAGTCGGACCAAGTAGATCAACTGCTCCGCACGCTCGGGTGCGCCCTTCTTGCCTTTTTTAGCAACCGCCTCCGCTACCACGCTTCAAACGTCAACGCGGACACGAGCGTGGCAGTGACCGAGCGACGGACACCCCGCCGCAAAGCTATTCGATCGTCTTCCCCTTTGTTCCCGAAAACCGGAACAACTGCGAACGGTCGTTCTCCCGTCTGCAGTATCGTTGGACTTGCTATGCAGCGCGTCCGCGTTGCTGCGGCGCTGGCTTGCGTCGGGTGGCACGTGGCCGCCGTTGAAGGGCAGCCGGCGGAGGCCGGGCTGGACTATTTCCTGGTCGACGACATGCAGGTGCCCCTGGAGTACAGCCGGCACTCGAGCCCGCTGAGCGCGATCTCGTTCAAGACGAAAGCCTCGCTTTGGGACCAAGGGAAGCTCAACTACGTCATCGAAACCACGGCCACCAACCCGAGCTCCCCAGCCGCCTCCTTCCTGGCCGACGATGACGCCCGGATCAGCGCGGCGGTGGCCCACTGGGAGGCCAACACGTGCATCCGGCTCACCAAGTGCGCTTCAGAAGCCGTCTGCGTGAAGCCGTACCTCCTCTTCATCTCTGACGCGCAGCACTGCAACTCGCCTGTAGGCCGCCGGGCCAGCGGCGTCAACCAAATCAACCTCGCCTCCGGGTGCTCGACAGGTACGGGGTTTCACTTTAAGTGAGGAGCGAGGGGAAGGAATCAAAGGTGCTCGCTTCGCCTTGTTTGCGCGTGCCGTTTTGATCCTTCATCTTGTATCGACCTCTTTCATTTTCAGGTTATCAGAAAGTTCTGATCAACCACCAATACGCCCTAATTAAGTCTTTTAGCCCGCACAAATTGGTATCATTGTGCCAATGCACCCCCCGCCCGATCGAACGTTGTCGTGCCATTCCTGGATGTAGTGCAACACGTGTGGGCGGACTCTGAGTTGCCCCGGAGCAACCTATCTTTTATTTTTTTTTTCGGTGAGAAAAAACACGCAGTCTTTTTTCGCTTGGTCTTATTCTCCCAACAATATAGGTGAACACCCAAACACACACCTTCTCCCTTTCCGGTTTTTTGGCGCCACTGACCCGCAGGTCAGGGGAAAAAACTTCAAATTCCCTCCCACCCGTCCCTTGGAAAGGGGAGTTCGCACGGTTTCGTATTTGAAAACCCTTGCTCCTCCGGTTGGATTTCCTTCCGCGTGATTGGCACACGGAAGAGGGTACCCCGCAGAAGTGTTTCCTCCTGCGAGTCAACGGGCCCTCTTTTTCCGTAGCGGGAAGAATTCAATTGACCGGCCCCCCTCGCAACCTCGCAAGGACGGGAGCAAGGTGGTCCTGTGTTTCTCCACGGGACCCCGACGCTCGCTACGTCGTAATAAAAACCCAAACGCAGAATAGTCTCTTCTTCCTCCTCTCGAACGTCTTCCTCCAACGTGTATTCTTGTTTTCTTGCCGACCCTCCTAACACCATGCAAAAAGATCGGCCGAGAGAATTTTTTTTGACCTTTTTTTGTGAACCGTGATTTTTTTTTAGCCAGCCAATTTCGTTTTGTTGGCTAAGCGGAAAACCCCTGGACCCGGGGACCAAAAAATATGTGCGTGGTTCGTGGGTCTTTACCAGATGCGGGGCACCGGGCATGGAAACTACAGGTTTTCATTGGGAAGGACGGGAATCGACCCACTGGTTCATTTCTTTGCTGGCCCATGTAGCAGACCTTTTTCGGCGAATTTGTGCTCACGTTCAGTTCCTATGAAGAGAACCGTGAAAACTACCCGGGGACCACAAAATTATGTGCGTCTTTCAAGAAGAAGGGAGTTCCCGCGGGTTCCGGGTTTGCGGTACTTTCCATTTCTTTTTCGGGAAACTTGCAGGATCGGCACGCCGAATACAAGAGGTACCTCTCGTATTCGACCCGACAACGACAGTTACTACACTTGATCTTAGCCAAAAGGCCGAGAAGGTATGCCCAGAATCAGGAGAAAGCAAAAGCAGGTGTGTGGAAGATCAAGCGCGGATGATGCGCTGAAGACAGGAAACGAGAAAAAGGGTGGCCCAGGGGGCATTGCCACGGCCTTAGTTTTGGGTTAGAATACAACGCATCTGTTGCGATTATCTGCATCGCCTGTAGAACGTAATCGAGTTTCGTAGTTTTGGGTAGAACGTAAACAATCGGTGGCCTTTCGTGGCTACCTCTTAGAGCGCACCGTGTCATGTTTGAATTTCTACCAGTACGGTTAGGTACCAGGAAAGCCTGCTACACGGAAGCCAAGCTTCACGTGTTCGGCGGTACTGCAGAGCCACGGGCCTATGGGTCAAGTGGCTACCGATTTCCCACACAAAAGCATCAAGGCTTGGCGCACCTTGGGGCTTGGCGCTTGCGGTGTCGTCGAGACGGTCAGCCACAGGGCAGAGCGGACGGGGTTGTGGCACTGTGTGCTGCCTCCGACTCAAGCTTTGCAAGCTGTGGTTGACCTGGACCAGGAGCGGCCTTTTTCGTTTTTCAAAAACAAAACTACGCATTTCTTCACGAAAAGCCTCTCGGCAAAAACCCGTTTTCACACTTCTTCTTCTTCCCGCAGCTGTTGTATGGATCGCCTGCATACACTCAGCTACGCGTGCCTTCATTGCGAAGGTTACTGCTGCGGCCTTCTGGGTGGCAGCTGTGTGCTGTGTCAGGTCAAGTAGCGAGATCTGGGGCCCTGTGATGTATGCAGGGCTGCATCCTCGTGTTGTAGCCGTGTTGTGTATAAGGTTTCGTGAGGGCCTGGTCAACCACCTCATCACTGAAGGGCACAAACCTTTCGCGACCGTGATTGGACAGTCGGGATTGCCGGGGGCGGGTCTCCATGAAGAAGAGAAAAGTAAAGCAAAACCTGCCCCCTGCGCCTGCTGTCTCCGGCTGCTTCGACGACACATACTACTACTAGGGGCAGCAGGACACCTTGTCCAGGTGGGTAGCGTCACCTCCCCGATGCGAGCTGATTGCCGGATGGATGCGGGCAACTGCACCTTTGTACCACCGACACCCTCTGGGTGCTTCCAGGTTACGCGCAATCGGGGGTTTGAAACATGATGATTAATATCAAAAGCCCGCACCCACACGGCGTTGACTGTGTCTGGTCTTTGTAAGGGCTGCCTTGATGTTACTTTGATCAAACTCACACTTGGTATCGCATGACACTAGCTCTCGTGCTCGTGCTGGTTGAGGAGTGTGCGCAGGAAACTAGCGGGATACCCTGCTGATAAGCTCTGCCACACTCGGGGTGGCGTCAAGGCGCTTGCGGGCCTCAGCCCTGTTTTTCTCCACCGCATTTTCATCATATCTTGCTCTCTACAGGGCTTCCCTGGTCGTCCTGACGTTCCTCCCGAACTCAACATTTCGTCTCTGGGGGTCTTAGGGCCATTTTGGGTACTGCCAGGGTGATACACATCTGTGCATGAATTCAACGACACCGCAGGGGCCGTGATCCACGAAATAGGCCACAGCTTGGGGCTCTCCCACGAGCAGTCCAGGAATGACAGAGACAGTTTCGTGGCGGTGGACCTCACGCAGATCGAGGCGGGCTACGAGCTGAACTTCGACCAGACCGGCGCGAACGGGCGGGACATCGGGGCGTACGACTACCGGAGCATCATGCACTACAGCTCGCGCTCGTTCGCCATCGGCAGCCTGCCCACCATTGTGTCACCGGTGGCTATCGGGCAGCGGTCGGGACTGTCGGACGGTGATGTCGCTGGGATACAGTTCTTGTACAACGGCTGTTCCGACACGTTCGCGGCGCCGAAGTGCATCGTCAGCAGGGATACGTCCGAAGTGCTCCTGATCCCTCACTCACAGGACTTCTTGGTCGAGTTCAATGCGGAGTGGGATGCGTTGTCGTCGATGACAGTCACCTACGGGTCAACCACCGCGCCCGACACCACGTTTCAGGTAGCCTCGGGTTCGAATGTCGGCGACTGCGGATCGACGCAGTTGACGTACAACCCGTCTGCCGCCGATGCGAACAGCGTCTTCGTCTTGGCCGCCACGTTTACTTCGACCGGGATTGGCGCTGAGTCGACTACTTGTCAAATTCAGGTGAAAGTGGCATCCTCGAACCAAGTGTGCTTCGGGATCCCAGCGGATGAACCGAACGTGTGCAGCGGGCGTGGGACGTGCACGTCAGACAAGCTAAGTCCTTGCTCGTGCACAGGCGAGTACGGCGGGTTGCAGTGCCAAGGCTACGCTGTTTGCCCTGACAACTTGGAGTTCACCTTCGACGACATAACCGACCTCGACTGGTCGAACTCCGTGATCGACGCATCGCTCAGCGCCAAAGGCGGCAGCTCGGCCTACTTCGGGTCCGAGGGATACGGCACGTATACTGTGGCCACCCCAAGCCGGTACACGTACATTTCTTACCGGATGGCCCGCGACCTGGCAAGCCCCAATGACCCTGTCTTGCAGTTTTTCAACGCGACCAGCCAGATGTGTTGGCAAACGACTATGCAAGCGGGCACCCTTGTGTTCACCTCCGAGACCTCAGCCTTCGTATCTTTGACCGTGGAGACGAAGAAGTTTTACTTCGTGGAGCACCTGATCGACTACGACACCGGGACGATGTCCATCCGCATTGACGGAATGGTGCAAGTTGAAGATTTCGCGGTGAATGCTGCTTCTAACTGCTTGACTTCCGGGGTTGGAGGGGCTGTTTTCTTCTACGAAGGCTGGCTCGATGAGGTGCGGATGTACTGCCATTCGTATCTGCAGATGACAGGCACTCTGACAGAGCCTGATCAAAGTGACCTGGTCAGCGGCGGCCTGACGTTGACGGTCGTAATCGAAGGAGACGTCGATTCCTGGGTGGACACAGAGGCCACGAAGCAGGCGCTTATAGACGGCTTCACTGCCGACGAGGTCTGCGTGTCGCCCAACGGGTGGAACGCGCTGAAGTCAACGATGATGGACACTTCGCTCGTCACCATTTCGGGTTCGACGATGACCCTGGGCCCGCTGAACGCGGCGGCTTCGTTTTCCGCGTTGCTGTCGACGGTGATCCCCTTGGTTTTGAAGCCGAGCATGGTGCAGAGCGGCACTCTGCCCCTGGGGAGCGACGACCAGTCCTTCACAATCCCCGGGATTTGCGCCGGCTCGACCGAGTATTCGTTCGACGACGGGCTGCCTTCGGGACTGAGTGCGACCGCTTTCGGCTTCAACAACACCACCTTTAGCGAAGGAACCCACTCGCTCGAATTCCTGGCTACAGGTCTCGTCGCGCCGATGTCGGTGACGGCTCAGGGAGCGGCTGTAAGGCCGGATACGGTGTCATACTACGTTCGACACGGGGATAACACCAAATACGTAGGCTTCCAAGTGGAGAGCCCGGACTCTGCGACGGTCCTGCAATTGCTTGCCGGCTCCGGGTCGAAGTTGGCTGCAGGGTTTGGCTCGTTACAGTCATCGACAGCCGCCATTTCGGTAGACGTCTGGTACTTCGTGTCAATTTCGTTCGACTGGACAGCGAGGACCGTGTCCGTCAGCATCGACGGCAATGCAGACGCAGGGTTGGCGAATCTGGCTCTTCCGTCCGACTTTCAGTCGGTGAACCGGGTGAGTGCGTTCACGTTTTCTCTGCCCTCATTCATCGACAGCGTCCAGGTGGAGTGTTCTACTTGTGCTGGCGCCACTAATGCGCCTGCTACCAATGCACCTGCCACCAACGCACCTGCTACCAATGCACCTGCGACCAATGCACCTGCTACCAATGCACCTGCGACCAATGCACCTGCTACCAATGCACCTGCGACCAATGCACCTGCTACCAACGCACCTGCTACCAATGCACCTGCTACCAGTGCACCTGCTACCAATGCACCTGCCACCAATGCACCTGCTACCAATGCACCTGCTACCAACGCACCTGCTACCAACGCACCTGCTACCAATGCACCTGCTACCAATGCACCTGCTACCAATGCACCTGCTACCAATGCACCTGCCACCAATGCACCTGCTACCAATGCACCTGCTACTAATGCACCTGCTACCAACGCACCTGCGACCAATGCACCTGCGACCAATGCACCTGCTACCAGTGCACCTGCTACTAATGCACCTGCTACCAATGCACCTGCGACCAATGCACCTGCTACCAATGCACCTGCCACCAACGCACCTGCTACCAGTGCACCTGCTACTAATGCACCTGCTACCAATGCACCTGCGACCAATGCACCTGCTACCAATGCACCTGCGACCAATGCACCTGCGACTAATGCACCTGCTACCAGTGCACCTGCTACCAGTGCACCTGCTACCAATGCACCTGCGACCAATGCACCTGCGACTAATGCACCTGCTACCAATGCACCTGCCACCAACGCACCTGCTTCCAGTGCACCTGCTACTAATGCACCTGCTACCAATGCACCTGCGACCAACGCGCCTGCGACCAATGCACCTGCCATCAACGCACCTGCCACCAGTGCACCTGCGACCAATGCGCCTGCTACTAATGCACCTGCTACCAGTGCACCTGCTACTAATGCACCTGCGACCAATGCACCTGCTACCAACGCACCTGCCACCAATGCACCTGCTACCATTGCACCTGCGACTAGTGCACCTGCCACCAACGCACCTGCTACCATTGCACCTGCGACCAACGTGCCTGCGACCAATGCACCTGCTACCACCGCACCGGTCACCAGTGTACCCATTTCCAGTACACCTATCACCAGTGCACCGGCTACTACCGCACCTGCGACCAATGCACCAGCTACATCTGCACCAGCCACCAGTGCACCTGCCACCAATGCACCAGCCACATCTGCACCTGCTACCAGTGCACCTGCGACCAATGCACCTGCGACTAATGCGCCTGCTACTAATGCACCTGCCACCAATGCACCTGCTACTGATGCACCTGCCACCAGTGCACCTGCGACCAATGCACCTGCCACCGACGCACCTGCTACCAGTGCA